TCCCTTCCTTAAAGAATATTATTGAGTTCATAATACCATTTGTTTTGTTGTTCAATCATAGAGAAATATTTTACGAATTTAAATACAAAGGTTTCAGCACCATCTTCATCATCTGTAACTCTTCAACCTTAAGCAAATGTAGTATTCTTATACTAATTAGTGATTACATGATCAAGGAATCCTCCAGCAATTTTAACCATTCGTTCATTATTCCAGTTGTTAGCTTTTACAGCTTTCTTAAAATAAGCAATCCAATTAGATAGGTCTTCTTCACTTTTTCCTGAGAAACATTTTAATGAAACTAAATTAGTTTCTCTCTTTGATAGCTAGTATGAAGGTCTGTTTTGGACTTCCTGAGTAAGTTAATCAATAGAATTTGTGAGTTAGGTGATGAAGGTATTAAATTGGTCTGCGTTCATTATGTTTATTCTTGAGGGTTCTAATGAGAAGAATACTAAAGGTTATAATTTGATTGCTATAGGGCATTCAAAGTTAACTGAATAATAAGATTTTTCTAATATACAAATAACAATGAAGTCAAAATTAAATCCAAAGTCAAAAGGGTTAACAAAGGTTAAACTATATAACAATAATTTGACTTCTCTTTTTAGAGTTTTAATGAGCTGTAATTTACTAAAATATTGTCAATACTAATCAAACAAAGTTACTGTTTTTTCAATATATACAAGAGCATCAAATTTAGCGTTAATCCAATTTCAAAAATGTTTGAATGGTAAAGATACTTCTTCTGGAGGTGGATAGCAAATTATACAAGTATAGTCAGTTGATAAGTAACTTCTGTTTTTAGAGTGTTATTGAATATAATTTCATTGTAATGTGAGGTAAAGATCAAATTCATCTACTAAAAAGCTAGAAGTTCTAGCAGGAATCACCACTTTTGTTGACTTGGTATCTGTAAACTTAAATGATAAACTTTTAATTCAATCCGTCAAATTAAATACAAGACAATATCACAATTATGCCTATATGAAGATATAATAAAAGGCAATAGTAAATGAATTTAACAATTTCTTTATTGAATTCTTGGTTTATCTTAAAACCTTAACTTGAGTTACTTTTTGACTCAAGGGAAAATACAAGATATTTATATAAAATAAAATAATATAAAATCAACTATAATAAATATAATAAAGAGAACAAATAATATAACTATGATAAATATAATATATATAATAAATAAGATATAATTAATAAATATAATAAATATAATCCATTTATCTAATATATCCACTTGATCAACATTAACAACTTTGTCAACTTTGTTAACTATATCGATCATTTAGATCACATGACTTTTATTTTAGCACAGTCACAGATCACGACTTCAATAGTATAATTATACAGATCAGTAATTTTGATAAAATTTAATATTGTACTGTATTGTATTAGTCTTATAATAACTAAACTTTATTATAGGACTAGTACGATACAGTATTTAATGAAATTTTTGTAAAATTTATTTTTATTTATTACTTATTTTATAAATACAATGAATTTTGCTATTTTTATAATATTAAAAAAAAATCATTATATCATATTTTACTAATTAAATACCATATCTGCAAAAATCTTTTTTTTTATTTTTATTTTTATTTTTTTAAAAAAAACAATAAAGAAAAAAAATCTAAAATAAAAAAATAAAAATAAAAAAGAAATAAAAAAAAGTAAAAAGAAACGAATTGCAAAAAAAAATAAATAAATCAAAATAAATAAATAAAAACAAAAATATATAAATAAAATAAAAATAAAAATTAATAAAAAAAGAAAAAATACAAAATAAAATAAAAAAAAAGAAAAAAAAAAAAATACAAAAATGTAAAATTTAACATTGTACCATATTATACTAGTTCTATAATAGAGTTTAGTTATTATAAGACCAGTACAATACAATACAAATTTTATAAAATCAGTCTATACTATTATCATACTGGATTGGTTATATAATTATTATAGGACTAGTACAGTACAATACAAATTTTATAAAATCAGTCTATACCATTATCATACTGGATTGATTATATAATTATTATAGAACTAGTATAGTAAAGTACAGTACAATCCAAATTTTACGAAAAAATACTGATCTGCATAATCATACTATATTAATCTGACAAATAATACCGTACTGGTTTTTTATTTACCTCTAAATTTTATCTAGATCAGACTATCTGATCAAGAGTTATTGCGCAGCAAAGATTAGCATTTTATTATAAAAAAATGAGTCTAATCAATTTATATAATAAAATACTGATCTTTGCTGCATAATATATCCTGATTAGATAGTCTGATTTAGACGAAATTTAGCTTGTTAAAATCATCACACAGAGGAAAAATAGAATCCAGTATCAGTTTTATGTTAGCTAGCCTGCTTAAAAAAGTTTTCTAAGCTTAAGAGTCATTAAATTCTATTTTTAATATAAATCTTTACATTAAATAAAATTGGCATTATTAATTGGCTAATAAATTTTATAGGATATTTTTCAAAATATAAGAATTAAAATGAATCAAAAATTATATTTCTAGCATTTGTAATTAATAAATTATAAGCTTTTAAAGCTAAAAATAAGTTGTTGCATTTTTTTGGTCAGCTACTGTATTTTTATAAACTGTTGATTTTAAATTTTAGATTGAAACATTCTAGATCAAAAAATTTTTTTTTTATATTTTGTAATTTTTATAGATTTTATTTAATACTAGTAAAATTAGAATAATAATAAGCATGAAACTATTATTAATTACATTTTTCTTTATAATAATTATTATAAGAAATGTAGCATAAGAAATGAATACTAATATTAAAATAAAGTTTACTATATAACTTGCATAATATTATATAAAGTTTAAAATTATATATATCATTTAATTTTAAATCTAATTTTAATTGATTTCTAATTATTCAGATTTATATTATGAAAATTAATTTGTATTTAAAATAGATACAACTAGGTATCTAAACTAGTTTTAATATTATTAAAAATTTATACTTAATTTAAATTTAAGTACTATCATTTTTAAAAAGATTATAATATAAAATTTAATAAACGCTTATAAATGTTTTTAAATACTAAAGTGTAGATTATTTTTGCACAATATATTTATTAATAAATTGTTTTATTAAGCAAAAATTTTATAAGTTATTTTTATCTAAATTTTGTAAATTTGATAATTAACAAATATAAAACTAGTTGCAAAAGTCAATTTTAATTATATTGTAAAAATCGATTTAAAAAGGATCGAACCAATTGCATCTATTTTAAAATTTAGTATTTAAATTACAACTAGTTCTAAACATTAATTTTATATAGTTTATTTATTTTATATATATATCATTGTTTATTCAATCAAAAATTTATTTATATTTAACTCATATATTATTAATAAAATCACATAATATTTCATTATACATCTTACTATCTTAAAATGTTTTTATTTTTATAGTTATATTTAGTATTATTAGTATTATTTTATGTCTTTTAGATTTGTTTAAAAAAATAATAAAAAAACGTATAAAGAGAACTACTTGTATATATGTATCAGTTCCCAAAATTATATAGAGTATCTAAAAAATTACAAAATGAAGTAAGAATACTTCAGAACATAATAATGTAAAAAGTATCACCTCTCATAATAATTTTTTGGAATATGCAGAAGATGTAACTTTTTATTCTGAAAATAATAATATACCTTTTTATAATAATACTTCAGAACGTATAGAAGATAATAGTATCACCTAGAATTTTGAAAAAGAAAATTTACTAAGTTTAATTTTTGAAGAGGTTGTGAGCTTACTAAATAACAGTTATGATCTATCTGAAATATTGACAAATGTAATCAATAGCATATACATTAAAGATTATAATTTACAATCTCATATTCAATTATTAAAAAATATATATAATATATTTTATCTTTTCAAAGATTTTATTTAGCAGATTGATCTTTTATATAGACGGTTACTTGAAATTTTTAAAGAAGATAATAATGAAAATAATAACAGTAATAATAATGATGATAATAATGATGATGATAACATCAAATTAGAAATTCTAAAAGATTATAATTTACTGGAAGAAGAATCTTCAGACTTTAAGGATTCAATGGTAAATATGATCTGTATTTTCCTAATTTTATATCAGCAATACTCTTTATTTGGATTATGAAGCATATAATCTATAAGTAATATAAATTATTTTAGAATATGACAAAATGAAAATTTCTAATATTTGATTAACTATAGCAACCTTTGCATTAAAGATCTTATTAAGATTCTCATACATTCTAAGTTTCTAAAAGAAAATGTCACTACAAATATTCATCAGATTCATAAATAAAAAGATAGATTACCTTTAACTAAAGTATACAAATATAATATATCTGTTTATATACATCAAACACTATCTACATATAAATTTTCTAGATCTTTTTTTATTTTTCAAACTTGCTTTCTAATGTTCTTAAAGAAGTCTTTATTATTTCTCTACTAATATATTTAAAATGTATTCTAAATAATCCAATAATTATGCTAAATATATATTTTGGTCTTGAAGTAATTGTGATAAAAAATAAAAGTTTTGTCATGGTAAACTCTAGCAAGATTTTCACTTTTTAGAGAGTATAAAATAAAAATTAGCAATAAAGATTATTTCACATTTTTGTAAGGTTTATATATATATAATTTTTGTAAAAAAATAATGACAAAGTTTTTTATTTAGTGTATAAAGCAAGAGAATTTTAATATATTGTGAATAATCATTAATATCTATATGTTAAATATATAGTTTAATAATTGATAAAATAGATAATAATTCGCTTAAATTCAAAATTGATCAAATTTTTTTATATAAAGACCTTTCCAACTGCTAATTTATTGACAAATATTATAATTGTAGAGATAGTAATAAATTATGACTAGTTAAAAGTAGAATGAATTTAGTCAATTTGAAAATATAGAATAATGCATTATTATTTGGCTATGTGATATGCCAGAACCTGAAGAATATGATTTTTATATTAAAGAAATTGTATATCTTTTTAATGGCAAGTGAAAATACTATAACATAGTAATGAGATACTAGTTATATAGTAAATATATTATAATATTACTATTATCATAGCAACTTTCTACTTTAAAGATTTATTTTTCCATTTATATTAATAACTTTAGTATAGTCAACTCTTGATATAACGAATTTTTTAAACAAATATAATAAAAATACTTTTGTTATAGTTAATTGGCTAATTAAATCTCTTAAAATCTTTAATATAGCCTTATAGCAAAGTTGAGATCTAGGATATAGAGTTCGTTATAATAAGAGTTAACTATACTTATAAAAATATATATTATTTATTAGAAGGAGTTTATTTACAATTTGAAAACATGCTATTAACTTTTTGAAAACAACTAAAAAATCATTTTTTAATCAGTTTTGTTTCTTTCAATGTAAGATTTGAAAATTTTATTAAACTTGTCATTCAATATTTATAATATTTATATGTTCTTTCTTTACTTTAACTACATAAAATACAAAGCTAAATGCCTAGATTTAATTCCTTAATCATATCCTTTACAAGATATAAAGCAATAAGAAAGAGGCTTAATTATGAAAATAATAAATAGTAATGCTTAAGTAATTGGCAGTCTTAAATGCGTTATAACTGATCTTTTACAAGATAATGACTTAGATGGTATAAAATGTCATGGTATAATTCATGGTTATAAAATATATAATGTTTCAAGTAATTACCTTATTAGTTCAGATTATGATTATATAAAATATGCATATTTTAATCAGCAGACAGAAAATAAATTGAAGAGATTAGAAGTTAATATTCTAAGAAAGAAAGAAATCAGTTAGCTATTGAATATAAAATAGTAAAACTAGAAGCTTTCAGTATACTTAAGTAAAATTGTCACCTTTAAACCCTATAAGATGCCTATTACTCTATATTCAAAAAAGTACAGACATTATTAGATGAATATTTAATATACTTAATACAGCTGGTGAGATTGCTTTTGTGAAGTCTTGAAAAAAAATTGAAAAATTTTCTTATTGAAATCAGATGCCAAATCCTTTAAAATATTATCAAAGTTTTATATTTTCTGACATACTAAGACTTTTAATATTGATATTATTTATACTTATAAGATTTTTAAAACTATATCACATAAAATCAGAGGCATTAAATACTTGAAATACAAATTCCAGAATAAGACAAAATTCAGCTATATCAAAATTATGTAAAAGTTAGGCAATTGAAGTTAAGACATTAAAGCTTACATTTTCAATTATTATTATAGAAAATATTTACTAAGAATTGCAAGAATCTTTAAAAAATGAACATAACATACTTATATAAGTAAGTTAATATTATATATATAAATATCTAAGTATTTATTAAAAAAAAATCTAATAGAAAATGTTATCATACATTAGAAATCAGAATATCACTACAAGCAGTTTATAAATTTTCAGATATAATGTATATTAAATTTATATTTTCCATTAATATTATAAAATTTATAATTTATAATTTAATTATAAATTATTAATTATTTCTAAATAATTTCATAAACTTGCCTAATTTGTATTTAAATACACATCTTTTAAATATGCTTATAATTTCATTACACTTGTAAATATAGCTATTGGTATCAAAGAAATGATACATCAAATATTCAATGGAATGGTATCATATATGAACTGTAAAGTAATAAAATTTGATCTTATCTGATAATATAATACAATACAAGCATTACGGCATTTTGTTAATAGTTAGATAAATTTTCACTTTAATTTTGAAACTAAAAATTCATATAATGATCTGTCTTTAGATCCAAAACTTTATACAATATTGATAAATTATTATGCTATAGAAAATCTGTTTATAAATATTCAGAATGACGAAAATAAAATTATAGTAGTTTTATATTCAGTTGTTAGTAACAAAATAGTAGCAAAGTCATTATTTACTAATATATAATTATTTTTTATACTAGATATTGTATTCACGAAATACTATAATAAAAATTTTATTAATATTTCTCTTAAAAATAAATGGAATACTGAAAAATTAGGCACAAAGATTTATTGAAGAAATTAGATACAGACCATTTATTATTTCAGGTCTTATATAAAGCATATGTTGATCATTTAAATTCAAGTATTACAATATTAAATAAGCATTTAGAATTTTATAGCTCAATAGTATACATAGTTTTTAAAAACAATCAGAAGCTCATATGATTAAAACTTTACATTGGTAACATTAAAAAACTAATTGAAAATCTGAAGGTATCACATATATTAAAATTGAGTCAATTATTCATCATCAAATAAACAATGGTTAATATTACACATTTTATTTGTTTAATTAAATTTAAATAACGAACTACATTAATTTTATATTAGGATATCAGTTTTATAATATTCAAAAGTCTAAAGAGTCATGTTAGTTCTGAATCTTTCTAATTAATTTTATCAATCATATGCCTTATATTTATTTTATATACAATTAATACTAAGCATAATGAAAACAATTAAAGTTATATTCTAAATTAATTTTATTATAATGCAGTATAAGTAAATTAGATAGAATATTTAGATAATTATAATATACAATTTTTTTGTATTTTTAATGATTATTATAATATATTTTTTATTTAGCTTTATTATATTTTTAGCATATTTTCAGTATACAATAAAAATATTATATATTTAATATATTTTTAATATATAATAAAAATATTATTATCATATTATATTATAATATGTTTGGTATATTTATGATATATAATTAAAAATATTATTAAATTATATTTCTAACATATTTTTGATATCAAGTTAAAATAGAGTTAACAGAAATACATCTGCCATATGTCTGTTATATTTTAAAGTATTTATAATATATTTTTCAAAATGTAAGGTTTCAACAAAGTCATAATAGTTTTTAAATTTATTTTCAATATTTTTTATTATATTATAGTATGAGAAAATATAGTAAATATAATATTATGTAATATGAAACAGAATAGCTTTAAGTTTATAAATAGATGTGTTATTATTAATACTAAAATATTTTTACATTCTAAATTGAATGGTATATTTAGTTATTATAATAATGCTTTGTCTATCATTTTCAAAAGTAATTTTCTATTATTAAATTCCATAAAAATTTATGTATTATCATTGTAAAAATGCTAATTAATATTAATGAAATCCAGTTTATATTTAAAAATATTGCATAATAATTTTCAATTTATCATCTCTATTATCTTCTTTTATTATAAATAAAAATAGTTACTATAATTAAAAAAATAGTACAATTGAATTGCAACTTTTAATGTAAATAAATTTTCTTATAGTATAATTAAGTTGCAACTCAATTAAAATTTGAAATAATTATAGGAACTATCTTTAATTATAAAGCAAGTATTAAGATAAATACATAACTTTTTTATTATTTATTATTATATGAGAGAAATTTTTGATAATATGATATAAATCATTCTTAAGTGAATTCATATTTGTTTTTATTTCTTTTTAGATTTATATAATCCCTATAAAAAATTTTATCTGTGATTTCTGTAAAAATTCTGTTAATCTAATATATTTATAAAAAAATAACTAAAAATTTAGGTAATTCAAGATAATTTCTATGTTTTTAACTATAAGTTCTAGAAATATGATATATTTATAGAAATAAAATGTAATTTTAAATCACAGAATAATTTTTTATAGGGAATAATACATCTAAAAATTAAGTTATTTATTTATTAATATCTTAAGTTATTTATTTGTTAATTTTGATATAGTTATATTATTATATCTACTAGTAGTAAATTGTATATGATTTATAAATACTGATCTGTAAATTTAGCAAAATTATTTTCATAAATAAGAACAATATCTAAAAATAATATTATTGATAGTGCTAAAAAAAAAAGAAAATATAAAAGAAAAAAAAGTGAAAAGATGATTATGTCTAGTATTATCTTTATCTATTTGTATATCATCATTATTTATCGCTATTTTTAAAATAGTATGATCTTCAATCATATGACATAATAGTAAAAGTTCACAAATTTTTTGAATTTTATGAAACTTTTTTTAAGCATATAATAAATACTGCAGATTCTCTTTACAGTTACAAAATATAAAGTTTCTATTTGTTAAATCTAAGTTTTATAAGTATAAGACAGTTTTTTTTCTTCAAATTTACAAAAAGAAGTGCTTTTACTGAGCAAATTTCAGCAAATTTTTATGAATTTTATAATTTTAATAAATTCTTTTCTAAATTAATAATTTTTTTTAAAAAATTAAAGTATATTAATACTTATTAAGAATAAGAAAAAGTCTAAGTAAAGATCTGAAATAACGTATTATTTGCTATTAAGCTGAGGGTTTTACACAGAAATAAATTGCTAAAAAAATATATATTAGTGAAGATGCTATAAATAAAGTCTGTAAAATTTTTAAAAAGTAGAGATATATGAAAGATCTATTTGTTGTAAAGTAAGAAGAAGAAAAATATTTATAACACAAGATATGTTAGTAATTATTTTAAATAATTGCTTTTATTGTATAATAATTAATTGGTTATGAAATTTATGATTTATAGATGTTAGAAAGTTTGGTTAAAAATAAAGTAGATTGGTACCTTGATGAATTGATATATGAAATAGAACAAAGAATAGGAAAATTAGTTTCTGTATCAATATTATGATATTCTCTTCAATTTTATGATATAATAAGAAAGAAAATACAAAAAGCAATCAAAAATAAAGTGCAGCATTGTGTAAAATTTATTTATATAATATTGGAATAATTACATTTCTGAATAGTTAATTTTCATTAATGAAATAGCTAAAGATGAGAGAACACTTATCAGGTTATATGATTATTCTCTTATCAATACTAGAGCTAAAAAAAGCATTGTTTTTATTAGAGAAAAGCATTATACCATTTTGCTAGCATTATCTTTAAAAGGTTTTATTGCTATTAATATTATAGAAGAAAGTTATAATAAAGAAAGATTTCAAATTTTTATTTTAATATAAGTAGTAATAAGGATTTATATTATTATTATTTATAATAATTTAAACCTTTTTTTTATTAATGATATTATTTATTTATTTTAAATTAGCTAAATCAAATAAATCCTTATCTAGCTAAGTATAGTGTATTAGTTATGAATAATATACACGTATATTATAACAATAATTTAGTTACAGTAATAGAAGATATTAATAGTAGAATACTTTATTTACCTTCCTATTCACTGGATTTCAATCTAATTGAAACAGCTTTTTCAGCATTAAAGTTCTGGTTAAAAAAATATAGAGATCTTATAAATCATTTTGATTCAGTATACTTAATTTTAGTTGCATTAGTTTAAACTATACCAGAAATAGCAAAAAAGTATTTTAAAGAATCAGTTTATGATATATAATATTTTACACTTAAAATTTTGTTAAAAATATATACAAATAAGCTATTTATTATAATGCCAATGCTCTTTATTCTATTAAATAAAATGAAATACATACAAAAAAAAATTATTATTCATATTTTTTTACTTTATCACATAATGTTTGCCTATGTCTAATAATTGTTACACTCATCAAAATATATTCAGAATCTGATAATTTTATAAGATAATTAACATGAATTTCTTGTTCTTTAAAAATAGACAAATAATAAGTAAATTAACTATCACTAAATTCTTTATCTAATCCTTCTAAAAAATCTTTCATAGTTGATACAACTTTCTTTGGTAAATTATAATCTAATATATGTGAAAATAAACTATAATCTAAAGTTAATGATAAATTACATAATCTACTTTAGATATCAGA